CTGCCGCGCGCGCCGGCCGGCCTGCCACGCCCGCCTCGTTCGCATGTGCATGCCGGCTGGCGGCTGCGGTGAAGGGGAGTGCGGCGCTCCCGGCCGGCACGCCTTTCCCAGCTCCTGCCTGCCTGGCAACCAAGCCTGCCTGCCACCTCACCCGTCCGCCCGGCCCCACCTGCCCCCTGCCTGCCCCCAAACCCAGACCCGGCTGTCGTTCGGCCCCAACGACTACCCCTGCGGCGGCGACTATCGGATCTATGCCTGGGCATCCAATGAGGCGGGCGAGTCAGCCAACTACACTGCCTATTCAAACGTCTACACCTTCCCCGCCTGCTTCAGGCGCGCCGCCGCCTGAACGGCTTGAAAATTAGGCTTGATTTGGTTTGATGTCCTAGCCCAGCCAGCTGCCTGCCCTCCCGCGCACCCTCCGCCTGGCTGGCGGCGTGGCTGCCGGGCCTCAGCATGACGGCCCTCGTGGCATGTGGGCCATGCAGCATGAGGGGCCTTGCGGCTTGAGGGCCATGCGCTGGGTTCCAGGTATAGCCTAATGTTCCTCAACTCAAGTTGCCTTCTTTCCCCCCTGCCCTTCTGCAGCCCGCCGCCGCCGTCCCCGCCTCCCCCTCCCTCTCCCCGGCCCCCGCCGTCCCCCAAGCCTCCCTCCCCGCCTCCCTCGCCCCGCCCGCCCTCTCCGCCGCCGCCCAGGCATGCCGCTGATGCTGTGCGGCGGACACACGATGCACTAGTTGGTGTTATGACGGGGAGCGGCTTGGGAGTCCTCCAGCCTGGGCCGAATGCCCCTGCCATTCAGCCTCCCGAATTGCCTGCCTGCCCACCTGCCTCCCCATGTTGCAGGCCACCACCGCCCTCGCCCAAGCCGCCCTCCCCGCCACCGCCCTCGCCCCGCCCGCCCAGGTGCGCCGCATTGCACCCTAAACCCTTTGCTGCTGCGCTGCACGCGCTGTCTGTGCAGGCCGGGGCGCCTGCAGGGCTGCCGGCTCGCTGCCCCGCCGCCGGAAGCGGGGCAAAGATGACGCTGATGCGCAGAGCAGGCAGGCGCCGCGAGGCAGCACCACCGGCAGCTCTCTGACAGCTGCCCCGCCCCCTCCCCTGCCCCCTGCGCAGCCCCTGCCTGGGCCACAACGTGCCGTGCAGCGCCTGGTTCTGCTGCGCCGCCTACACCTGCGCCAACACCACCACCAACTCCACCGCCTGCGCCACCAAGCCGCAGCCTCCCTCATCTGTCTACCTGAGCCCCGCGGGCCGCTCGGTGCTGGTCTACCTGTCGCTGCCGCCAGACACGGGCGGCATCAACATCCGTGAGCGGCCGCACTGTGCCTGCGGGGCAGCGTCGCACCGGAGAGGCGGGGTGGGAGTGGGAGTGGGGGCCCTGCATGCTGCACCCAACATCTGGTGTTGAGCCTGGGACTGGCCCGGTGCTGCCCATGCGCCGTGCGGATTCCAGCTACAAATTCGATTCTACACAAACCTAGGATGACGCTGGGGGGGTGCGTCTGCCCTGCCTGCCCGCAGCCATCACCAGCTACCGCATCCTGGGCAGGGCTGCCGCCTCGGACGCCCCCAAGATCAGGAAGGAGGAGCTGGGCACCGCCACCGCAGACCCAAATGTGGTGCGTGTGACACATGAGACCTGCGCTGTGCATGCGGGTGGGCTGCACCAGAGGAGGGCTCCTGGCCAGTGAGGGGGCTGTGCGGCTCCGCCCGAGGAGGCGGCCATGGCCCACGCCGCGGCCGTGGCCCATAGCTTCACCGCCCGACCTGAGTGGACTCGCTGCTGGGCCTGTTGCTCGGCTTCCTGCCTGCCCGCCCGCCTCCCTGCAGACGTATGTTGAGATCGAGGCTGATGAGTACAGCTGTGGGGAGGACTACGAGTTCACGGTACGGCCTGGCTGCTGGATGGGTAGCTGCCGGGAAGCTGAGCAGCCCATGCCCCGCCTGCCGGCCTCCCCCATCGGTGGCGCTCGGCAGCAGCTGCGGCAGCAGTGGGTCGCTGAGCCGGGCGTGCTCTGTGTGCCGGTGTGCTCTGTGTGCCTGCCCCTTTGCAGGTGTGGGCCTCAAACGAGGTGGGCGAGTCTGAGGAGCCTCACGGCGAGAGCATCACGTACCGCATGCCCCGCTGCTTCAGGCGCGCCCTGCTGCCGCCCTGCCGCTGCCGCCCTGCTGCCACAGGTGCCTGGCGACAGCCAGGGCCGCAGGCCGCCCGCAGCCGTCGGCATCGGCAGGGCGGCATGGGCTGTGGGGGAGCGCTGTTGGAGTGGCGGGGCGTGGTTGGGAAGATTGAGGATGCAGATCAGTCTCGCGTGTATCCCTGCTTCATCCATTCTCTCGGGGGTGTGTTCCCCCGCCATGTGTGCTCTGCAGCCCACCTCCGCCCTCTCCCAGGCCGCCCTCACCACCACTGCCGCCCACGCCACCACCCAGGCCGCCTGCACCACCTTCCCCGGCGCCCCCGAGGCACGCTGCTCTGCACGGCACATGGCACCTCCTGCGATGCTCATGCTCAGCACACACGGAGCAACTCACCCCTGCCGTGCCTCCTGCACTCCCCGCCCTCCCTGTGCAGCCCCTGCCTCACCCAGGGCACGCCCTGCGCCTCTTACTTCTGCTGCGCAAGCCTGGCCTGCATCAACAACACGGCCGGCGCCGCCGTGTGCGCTGGGGTGCCTGGCAAGCCCACCAGCCTGTTCCTGTCCATGGATGGAAAGGTACTGGACGTGATTGTGCGCCCACCCACCCAGACGGGCGGCGACGACATAGGCAAGTGCCAGGCGGGCGCCAGAAAAGCGTTGAGGGGTGGGCAGCTCACAGCTCAGCTGTGCTGCACATGCCAGGCTGGCAGCCTGCCCACCGTCCGCAGCAGGGCCCGCAGCAGCAGTGGCAGCCACTCGAGGCAGGCTGTTGGTGAGTGAGGAGCGGGCAGAAGCTCAGTGTGCCACCCGGGCTCTTCCCCCCGTGTTCCTGCTGCTGCAGCCATCACCGGCTACCGGGTGCTGGCCCAGTCCTCAACTGGCGCCAACTTCACCACAACCTCCCCGGGCTCTCCCAGCAGCCTGATCCCCGGCACGGTCAGTTCCCTGGCGGGCGCCATGCGCGAGGCGCAGGGCACCTGCCGGCCCTGGATCCTGCACCTCCTGCCCTGTGGCTGCCACCTGGCTGGCTCCCTCCCCCGTCAAACCCCACGTTGCCCTGCCTGTCGCACTGCTGCCGTGCAGAGGGTGATCGAGATTGCGCCAGACGTGTATCAGTGCGGTGTGCCATATGCCGTTTCGGTGTGGTCTATCAACGACGCCGGGCAGTCGGCAGAGCCTATCGAGTATGGCAACGGCAGCAACACCTTTACGCCAGCCTGCTGAGGGGCTCTTGCTGAGGATGCACGGCTGCCTCGCCTCGCCCGTGCACTGCAAAGCGTGCTGTACGGTGCAGAATCGCGGGGGCGCGTCCACCAAATCATTTTGCTCCCACATGGTGTGCCTGATCTGTTCTGTCCTGTGACAGGCGGCTTGTACCACTCTATACCCATTCATTACTTCTTTGAATCCATGCAAGCAAAGCCACAAACCTCGGCCGAATGAGAGGGAAAAAGCAAGGCATCTGCAAGGCAGCGTTGGTGCGCTGGCAGCTGCCCCACTCCAGTGGCATCCTCTCCCAAACCTGCCGCCAGCAATTGATTGGAGATGGGAGATGCATGGGCAGCTGAATGGACACATGGCGCTCGTTTTAGGAGCCAAGGAGCGCAAATCTAAAATCAGGCGGCGGTACGCCCGCAGGACGCAGGCGCCCTTGTCGCCGCTCTCTCCCGGAAGCCATGATGGCGGCCAGCTACCCGTTGCGGAGGTTTAAAATTCGATTGAAGCGTCGCGTGCCTCACTGCCAAACCCAGTTTTTCAAACCCGAGCGCAATCACCTTGTGGGCTGCGGGCGTCAGACGGCCTGCCATGCAGTGAGCCGGCGATAACAGGGCTCCTGATCAGTTGCCGACGGCACAGAAGCTATGCGCCGGCTATTTTTGGTGCTCGATCTCTCGCTGCTGCGGCAGCCGGGCGAGGACCAGCGGCAAGCAGTGTTGCAGCAGCTGACCACGGCGATTGGGCGGCTGTGGGCGGCCTACCAGCACAGCAATGCCGGGAATGGCGGCGCCGCCACCCAGCGCATCAGCTGGGGCTATGCCCTCTACGACTCGGCCTGCCCTGACCTGCTGCTCAAGCCGCAGCTGCGCAGGACGGCGCAGAATCTGCGTGAGTGGCGCGCCGTCCAGGCAGCGGGGGCGGCGGGGAGCCGGGAGGGCTCCAGTGGCCTCCAGCGGTGCGCCCGCATTGCAAGGTGCAGAATAAGTTCGCTCACCTCGCTGCCTCCCTTCAGGCCTCGCTTGCCGCCGCCGCTGCCCGTGCTGCAGGGCTCCCCGCCGCTTTTCAAGACAATGTGCAAACCGACTGCCGCGGAGCGGAGCTGACTCACTTGCTGGCCCTGCTCGCCGCCGCCACACGGCCCTCGGAAGGGGCCGGCAACTCGAGGGGTGCGCGAGACGGCAATGGGGAGCCGCCGGCGGCGGCGCTGGCTCGCGTGCTGCAGAGCGCGCTGGGCAGCAGCTACCTGCTGAAACTGAAAGAGCTGGCAGACAATGACAGCGGCAGCGGCAGCAGCGCCGAGGGTCTGCTGGCCGTGTTCAGCCTTGGCCTCAGCACCACGGCGCAGCTGCAGCGCTTCCTCGGCCCCTCGTTTGTGGCGCCCGGCAGCGCTGCGCGGCCGGCCGGGGCGCCGGCGCAGCAGCTGCTGGCAGCCGCCATGCCCGCCGCGCTGTGGCAGCGCTGCGCCGGCGGCAGCCTGCGCGTGTGCTGGGTGGCTGCAGGGGGCGAGCAGCAGGAGGAGCAGCTGGCTGTGCTGCCGGCCCTGAACTCCCTCATGCGCCAGCGGTGCAGCAAGGCATCGGCTGCCCCGCTTGCCGAGCTGGCCGGGCCATGCAGCCGGCAGCAGTTTGCGGCACGGCTGGCGCTGCCGCGGGCCGAGGAGCAGCAGGAGCAGCCGCAGCGGCAGCAGGTCAAGGGGCCCGAGGTGGAGGGCGATTTCTGGCCGGCAGCTGCCAGCCCGCAGGAGGATGCTCTGGAGAACCTGAAGCTGCTGCTTGGGAATCTGGAAGGAGACAAAGGTGCGCTGCGGACTATGCCGCTGCCACCTTGGATAGTTTGCCGGGTGCTTGGCTGAGGCCCGGCTTGCGGCGCCGCGCCACGTATGGCTTCGCGTCCCACTCTGCTGTGCTGCCTGTTGTGCCAAGACCTCATCTGTCCACCCTGAGCGCGCAGCTTCTGCTCTTGATCCTGTGCCTGCTTGTGTTGTACATGTGCAGAGCGCGAGGCGGAGGCGGCCAAGCGGCTGGTGCGTGCGCAGCACCGCCAGCTGGCGCGGCAGCGCACGGGCGTACCGCCGGCGGCGCGCCGTGGAGCGGCGCCCGTGGCCAACAAGGGCGCTGCCCTGCTGGAGAATGCTCGCCGCATCCAAGCTGACAAGGTAGAGGGCGGTGGCAAGCGAGCCCAGGGGCCTCCCCGGCCCCCTCTCACTCCAGCAGCACTTGGCGCGCACCTTTGGCAGCGTGCTGCGGTTGCAGTGGTGTGCTCCGCGCATGGGTGCCTGCCAGTCTTTCGCCTGCCGAAAACCGAGCCTGAGCCGTGTTTGTGCCCTGTTCTCCCTTGCTCCCGCCCTACCGTTTGCGCGGCACAGAACCGCAGGGGCACCGCCTCGCAGCCCACCTCCGGTCACGGCACGCCCACCGGCGGCGCTGGCACATCAGACGACCAGGCGCACGTGCTCAAGGCTGCAGCGGGGGCCAGCGGCGAGGAGGGGGAGGAGGCGAGCAGCTCCCGGGCTCTGGCGCCTGACAGAGCGGTGGCAGACCTCAAGGGGTGCGCGTGCTGGTGCCACACCTTGCTCGTGGCTGGCTGGCAGCGCTCAGCCCCTGCCGCGGTCAACGCCCTGCAGAGCAGCACGGATCCTCCGAACAGCCACACTCCCATGAACATTGCGCTTGCGCTGCTGCTGCCTGGCTGGTCAACTCCTCATTCCCCTGCTCAACAGCATGTTTGTGGTGGTGCCTCGCTGCAGGCGCCTGGCAGAGCTCGCCGGGAGCGTCGCAGCTGCCGAGGAGGCGCCGGAACCGTTGGCGCTGCTGGATCAGATCCGCCGCTTGGTCGACCCGTGCTTCTCTGCCATGCTGGCCTACAGCACCCGCCGCAGCAGGCAGCAGCCTGCGGCCGGCACCCCCGCAGCCGCCGCGGACGGGGAGGCCACCAGCGCGCCTGTCGCTGCCGCCGCGGCCGCAGGCGGCGGCAGGCCGCCGCTGCCGCCGCAGCAGGACCTGCTGACCCTGGACTGCATGAGGTCGCTGCTGCTGCAGCAGGTGCCCGCCGCTGTGGCGGACCTGCGGCGCCAGCATGTGGAGGCGGCGGAGCCGCAGCAGCGGCGCCAGCTGGCACGCCGCCTGCTGCTGGAGCTGTACCTGCGCCTCAGCATCTGTGCCTATGGTGAGATCACAGTATCGCGCGGCCTGAGAGGCGGGTTAAGGCGGCACATGCATGCCTGCACCCAGTAGCCTGGGGTGCCACCCGCAGACCACTCCCGTCACCCCATTGCTCATCTTGCCTGGCTGCAGGTTCCCCAGCGGGTGGGGAGCTGCCAGCAGGGCAGTTCCACGAGATCGAGGTGGTAATACAGGTGGGTACTGCGGTCCCGCACCTTGGTAGCAGCTTCCCAACCATGCCTGCATGCCCGCGGCGGACCCGCCTGGCACTACTGGTAATTATTGATTGTCCCGGCGGCTCCGCATACTTTGCGGGAACGAGCCCACCCCTTGCTTTCTTGCCTGGGTGCAGATGCTGGCAGCTGTCCTGCTGCCGTTCCCCCAGGCAGGCCACGACCTGTTCCTCCAAGCGGTAAAGAAGCCCTTTGGTGAGCGACCGCCGCAGCCGCTCGCCATCCTGTCTTCTCTCTCCTGTCTTCCCTCCGACATCATCAACCCCTGCATCTCTCCTTTGCCTCAGCTCCCTGCATGCCGCGCTCCCCAGCCGCTTGCTGCCGGGCGAGGCGCCTGCGCGTTCTCCCGACGCCCCGTGTGTGTGTGCGAGCACGGACGCGCCCTGCGCACCGCCTCCCGCCTGTGCCCTGCAGGCCCGCGCTTCCCGGCCGACATGCGGAGGCTGCAGCAGGAGATGTGGGACGATGGGCTGAGCCTGGACTTTGACAGCATCATGGGGGAGCAGCGGGACAAGGCAAGTGGGGCAGTACAGCGTCAGGACAGGGCAGCGCGACCGACGTGTCGGTGACAGGATGACTGTACCAGGGGACTGTAATCTGAGGCGGGGCAGCGCGGCGTACCGCAGCTCGCCCTGCGGGGTCGCTGACGGAGCTGGGCCTTTACCAACTTGCTGTGGGGCTCCCTCGCTGCCTGGCGTGTGTGTGCGTGCAGGGTGTAGAGCTGGAGGTGTCAGGAGAGACGCCCAATTGCAGCAGTGGGCCGGCTGGCTCCGGGGCCACCCACCCGCACCGCCAGCGCCAGAGCAGCAGTGCGCTGACGGCCGTCAGGAGCGGCGCGGTGGGGGCCGGCGGCGCGGGGCCCAGCAACCTGGGCAGGTCGGCTGCGGCGCAGCGGGATAGCCCAGCAAGGTGAGCAGTCAATTCTGTCCACCAGGGTGCTGGCTGAGCTGGCTGATGCATGGACACCCCTGGCACCTGCCTCTCCTCAGCTGTTGACGTGGCTTCTTGTCTCAATGCGCCGCCGGCGCTGCAGGGAGGGCACCGCCAGCGGCCGGCCCTCTGCCGGCACCGCCCGCGCCAGCGGCAGCGTCATGAGCGGTGAGCGCAGGGGCCTTTCCAGGGTGGCATACCCCTATGCCCGGCCCGGTGTCCTGTGCTTCGGCCGCGCTTGGCATTGTGCTGCAATGCAAGGTCGTGTTGCCCACCACTGACCCCACTGGCCTGCCCATCCGTCTGCCCCCTGCAGGAGAACACAGCGGCATCCAGGGCGGCGGCAGCCGTGCCACCACCGGCGCCGCCACCGCACGATCCGGCGCCGCTGCGGCCCGAACAGCCACCAGCCAGGGAGCGCTTGTCAACCTGACCCACATCCGGCAGAGGTGCGTGGGGGCAGGGGTTGAAAGCTGACGTGCGCCCCAGCCTGCGTGGCTGCCTCGCTCTCAGCAGCAGCAGCAGCAGCCCTTGGCACACGCCGACTCCCTCACCCAGACTCCCACACACTTTGCTGGCTACCTTGCTGGTTGTAGGTACAACAACACAAACCAGCTTAAGCTGCAAGTGCGCTCCAAAGTGCCCGCTGGGCTCATGCAGAAGAGCAAGCTGAAGCACACTGTTGCCACCAGCCGGCCGACATCGGCAGCCGCAGGCGGCACCAGCCGGGCTGCAGGCCCCGCCGGGACGGCCGCCGGCAAGGGCCGCGGCGCGGCGGGCGGCCTGCAGCAGCACCAGCAGCTGCCGCCGCGCGCTGCCAGGCGACAGGTGCCGGCCACGCCCGACAGCCGCGGCAAGGCCCTGCGGGAACTCGACCAGGCGACTGCTGCCACAGCCGGAGCCGTGGTCACGGCAGCCCTGCAGCTGCACCAGCACCAGCACCAGCACCAGCAGCACTCCCTGCTCTCTGGCGGCGTTGTCGTCTCGCCGGACGACGCCCACCTGGCTCTGGTGCTGCCGTCGGGAGCGGCGGCGCCGCCGGCAGCAGGCAGCGGCAGCCTGGAGGCGATCCCAGACACGGAGGCGCGCCCCCGGCTGCCAGGGGTGCCTGCAGAGTTGGGGGCGGCGGTGGAGCAGCTGATGCGCGGCCCTGGCACCCGCCTGGAGTTTGGTGAGCGCCTTGCCGTGGGCCTTTCGCCTGCCTGCCCGGCTTGCACGTCCTACCTGCGCATTGCCTGCGCACGCTGCCTGCATGCCGAGGGGCAAACACTCCAGCCGGAGGCTGGCACCCACGCCCTGCACCTGCTCCTCACCGCGGCTGTGTGTGTTGGCTGTGCTGTGTGTGCAGGCGCTCCGGCGGCTGCCCCTGGCGCCATCCTGCCCTCCCAGCGCCGCCCGGGAGGCGAGGAGGGCGGTAGTGCCACCACCTCTCCAGCGGGAGCAGCTGAAGGTCCAACCTGGCTGGTGGCAGCCACGCGCGCGGTGCGGGGCAGGGGAGGCGCGCCTGGTGTGGCGTCCCTGGGTGTGCTGGCGGCGGGCTCTCAACAGCAGCTGCCAGAGCCCGCTGCCGAGGCGGCGCCACCCTCCGCCGCCGACGGCGCTGAGCAGCAGGAGCAGGAGGCAGCGGATGGCATGGACGTGGATGGTGCTGCTGGCACGCCCGCCAGCCCAGCGCACGACCCGCTGGCGCCAGCAGCCCCGGCAGGGGAGGCAGAGGAGGCAGCTGCGCCGCCAGCGGACGCCGCAAGCCCCATGGAAGCAGAAGGCCCCACTCCCGCCCCGCCTGCCGAGCCGCCAGCGGCGGCTGGTGAGGCTGCGAAGGCCGCTGCTGTGCCCAGCACCAGCCGCCGCACGAGGAGCGCCGCCGCTGCCGCCGCCACAGAGGGGGCAGCCGTGAGGAGGCGCAGCAGGGGCAGGGCTGTTGGGGCAGCTGCCGCCGCTCCGGCGGGGGTGGAGGCGGAGCCGGCATCGACTGTGCGGCGAGGCAGGAGCAGGAGCAAGGGCGCTGTGGATGCCGCCACCCCGGCTGACCCTCAGCAGTACCCAGGAGGACAGGCGGTGGCGGCTGTGTCGGCTCCAAGCACCAGGCGCACGACCCGCAGCACGCCTGCAGCAGCCGTGGCGGGTGAGCAGGCGCAGCAGCAGGAAGAGCCAGCGATGGCCGACTCCGCACCCAGCACCAGGCGCGGCACACGGCGCACCCCTGCTGCTGCCGCTGCCGGCGAGGAGCAGCAGGCACAGCAGGAGGAGGAGGAGGCAGCAGCGCCGGTCGCAGTGGCTGACTTTGCACCCAGCACCAGGCGCGGCACACGGCGCACCCCTGCTGCTGCCGCTGCTGGCGAGGAGCCAGCAATGGCAGTGCGGGTGACCGACTCTGCTCCCAGCACCCGGCGCGGCAAGAGGCGCTCCGCTGCCGCTGCTGACGAGGAGCATCACGAGGAGGCAGCACCAGAGGTGGTGGCACCAGCTGATGAGCCCGCGGCAGCTGCAGCAGGCATGGTGGCTGAGCCAGAGACTGTGGCAGCCGAGGAGCAGGGGGACGCCTCGCAGGCGCAGCCAAGGCCGGTCCGAGCGCGGCGCCACAGCAGCCGCTTTGCTGCTGAGGAGGAGCAGGAGCCAGCTGCAGAGCAGGAGGAGCAGCTGGCTGCAGCAGCGCCTCAGCCCAGGCGCCGCAGCGCCGTAGCGGCAGAGGCAGAAGATGCAGCAGGCCTGGGCAAAGAAGAGCAGCGGCTGGTGCAGATGCAGGCGAGGCGAGGCACGCGCTCAGCCGCTGCTGCCTCACCGGCCGCCGCGCCAGCAGCAGCGGCGCCCAAGCCAGCAGCCAGGAGCAGCAGGGGCAAGAAGCGGCGGGCGTCAGGGCCGGCCGAGGCGCCGCCAGCCGAGCCTCAGGCCGAGGAGCTCGCACCCGCCGCTGCTCCCGAGTCTGCGACTGCCGGCGTGCAGCAGGAGGATGAGGAGCAGCCAACGCCTTCTGCCTCGCAGCTGGCTGCCATCGTCTGCCTGTTTGGCTGTAGATCGTGCAGGCAATCGAAATCGGGCTGCTTCAAATGCCGGCCCAAGGTGGCAGCCGCGCTGCAGGCCGCCCACTTGGATGAGTGTTTGGTGGGCGTGGGCAACTGCGGCAAAGGTGCGTCTAGAGCTGTTGCAGTGGGCTGCATGCCACCATCCCACACCTGCCGATCCCGCCGCTACTGAAACAACAGCACCTGCCTGTCCCGCCGCTGGAAACCCTGCAGGGAGTTGCGCCTTGAACCGTCGGGGCTGCGCCACGTGCTGGGCTGCTGTGCAGCAGCAGCTGTGCAGCCTCGGCGCTTCCACGAAGCCAGCAGCAGCCGCAGAGGGCGAGGTTGCAGCAGCTGCTGGGGCGGAGGAGGGCGCTGCGGCGCCGCTGGTGGTGGCAGCAGCGCCTGCTCCGGAGCCGGAGCAAGCGATGGAGGTTGAGACTGCGACCGAGACGGCAGCTGTGCCGCCGCCTGCAGCCAAGGAGCGTGCAGGGACGGCTCAAAAGCGGCGCAAGGCTCGGCACTCTGCCGCCCAGGAGACAGCCGCGGTACCGCAGCCCGCTGCAGCGGCTGCTGCAGTAGTGGAGGAGCCTCTGCAGGAGGAGGAGGCTGAGGGCATGGAGGCAGCTGGCGAGGCGGTGGTTGCAGCACAGGCGACAGATGAGGGAGGCAGGCAGTCGGGCCGCCGCAGCCGGCCCACCGCTGTGCAGCGGATGGCTTTCGGCCTCTCGACTGATGCTGCACAGCAGGCGGTGGAGGAGGTTCAGCAGGAGGAGCAGCCGCAGGGCGAGCCTGCAGCAGAGGCGGCAGCTACAGCAGGGCCACCGCCCACGGCAGCCCGCCGCCTCTGCAGCGCTGCCCGTTCGGAGCAGCAGGCAGAGGAGGCTGAGGCTGCAGCGGCGGCGCTGTCCACGGCACGGCGCCGCGGGCGCAGCGCCGGGCCGGTGGAGCCGCAGGCAGAGGAGGCTGCAAAGGCGCCACCGTCCGCCACACGCCGCGCCGGCCGGAAGGCCGGGCCGCCAGAGCAGCAGGCGGAGGCGGCGCCGCCTGCAGCCAAGGTGCCGGGCACTGGGCTGCGGCGCGGCCGCAGCGCCGGGGAGCTCGAGCCTGATGCCGCCGCCGAAGCGCCAGCTGCCGCCACCACGACTGTTGCTACCGGCAAGCGCCGCTCGCTCATCAAGAGCATGCGGGAGGCGGCCGAGGAGGCGGCTGATGCAGCAGAAGCGGCGGCTGCTGCAGTGCTGGCAGCTGCTCCCGTGGAGGGTGCAGAGGCGGCTGCCGCGGCAGGCAGGCATGGTGCCATGGTCGCCTCTCCAGAGCTCCTGGCCACCGCCTGGCCGGCGGCAGCAGTTGCAATGGAGGTGGAGGGCGCCGCTGCTGTCCAGCCGCCGCCGGCCGCGCTGCCGCAGGCAGCTGGAGCTTCTGCCGACCCTGTGGCAGCAGCCATGGCCGCGGCTGGCGCCTTGTCGGAGCAGCTGGGCGAAGGGGAGGTGGACATGGGGTTCGAGCAGGTCATGGCTGCGGAGCTGCTGACGCCCGCTGACATGGCGGTAGCGCTGCCGGCCGCCGCCGCCCTCGCGGCCGCCGCTGCCGCGCCCGCAGCGGCCGCGGGGCCCGAGGGCACGCAGGCGGAGGAGCAGGAGGGGGCGCCGGCCTCGGCGCGGCGGCGCCAGTCGGGCGGCAGCGGCGGCAGCGCCTTCAAGCACGGCAAGGGCCGCCTGAGCATCATGAAGGGGGCTGCCTCCTCCAAGGCAAGCCCGCAGGGTTGCACTGCTGCGCTGGTACCTGCCTGAACGTAGGGGCGGCATCCACTTTCCCACCTCTGCCTATACATAGCAAAGCTATTGCTATTGCTTTGTTTATGTATCACCCTGGTGCGTGCCCGTCGCTGCTGCCTTACTCCGCCCGCACCCCTCTCGGTGTGCCCTGCCGCTGCACGCCTGCAGGCCAAGAAGCGCAGCGCGGCCGGCGAGGCCACCAGCGGGGGTAGCAAGCGGCGGTCCGCGGGCGCGGGCGCGGCAAGCGTTCGCTCGCCGCTGGCGCCGCTGCTGCAGCAGGCGGCGGCGACCTCCGGCGGCGGCCCGCAGCCCTCCTCTCCCTATGACGGTGCCTATGGCTTCCCAGAGGATGGGCGGAAGGCAGCAGCCAGGGCCGCCGCAGCCGCAGCCGCAGCCGCCAAGGCAGCAGCAGAGGTGGTGGCAGACTCCGGCGCACCGCATGCAGCCCCCGTCGCGGCTGTAGCGGCAGCAGCAGCTCCTGTGGGAGTGCCCGATGCGGGGTCGCCAACTGGCGCCACACCTGGAGCGCCAGCCGCCGCTGATGGGCTGCCAGAGGCAGCGACCGCGGCAGCGACCGCCGGCGAGGCTGGCACGGCCGCTGCGGGCGGCAGCGCCGAGCGCGTGCCGGCTTCAGAGGGCGAGCAGCAGCAGAGCCCGCCGCAGCGGCAGCTGCCGCAGCCGTCTTGGCGGGTGCAGCAGAGCCCTGTGCTGTCTGCTGCGGCGCGCGGCCCCACCTCCTCATTCGATGCCCGCACCCTGGCAGCGGCAGCCGCCATGCAGCAGGAGGTGTCGTCTCAAGTCACCGCGCTGACGCAGCGCCGCCAGCAGCAGCAGCAGCAGCAGCAGCCGGACGGCTCTCCCGACTCCTGCCCAGAGTCTGCTGTCCCAGACAGCCAGCTGCAGCAGCTGTCGCCCGGCGTGGCGGGCCCGGTGCGCGGCGCGGCCCACCCGCAGCAGCCCGCGCCCACGCCGCAGTCCCGCCAGCGCCGCCTGTCGCCCCGGGGGCCTGCTGCGGGCAAGCAGCGGCCGCAGCTGCCGCGCGGGCTGCCGGTCCCCATGCCGGTTGCCGGCGACAAGCTGTCGTTCATTCAAAGCGCCTCCGCGGATGGCTCTGCTGAGGCGGGCCACGAGCCGCGCCTGTTCCTGATGAAGCTGCAGGTTGCAGGTGTGGCGCCACGCTGCGCAGAAACCTTGAGCCTACTGCTGGCTTGAGCCTACTGCTGCCTTGAGCCTGCTGCTGCCTCGAGCCTGCTGCTGCCTCGAGCCTACTGCTGCATGAGCCCCAGAGGCTTGCAGCTGCCTGTGGCGTGCCTCCCACTCGCTTCAGCTCACCTTGCGTTGCCTGGCATTGGCTGCCCTCCCCACCTGCCACGTGTTGCAGCGGTGGAGCAGCAGGAGGCCTCAGCCGACGGCCCGTGCCTGCTGGCCAGAGCCAAGTGAGTGCAGCACGGCTCGGGCGGCTGGCTGGGAGCACCACACTGCGGCCGCCGCTCGGTTGCCTTTGCCCCCGCGATGCAGCCAGCAAGGCGGCGTCCTGCTCATGTGTGGTGGGATGCTGATCAGCTGCCCTGCCGCTGCAGGAGGCTGGACTTCCAAGGAGAGCCCGCTATGTCGGTGTCGCTGCGCGCCGCCAGCTGGGTGCCGCCCGGCCAGCCGCTGACCCAGGCAGGCCAGTGGCAGCAGCTGTTCGAGGGCCCCGGTTCCGGCTCCTCGGCCCGCCCCTCCGGCGCCACCCTGCGCCCCGCCGGGCCGCCGGCGGAGACGGTACGGCACAACACGGCGGCGCGCATGCAGCAGCGCCGCAACAGCACCGACAGCCTGGTGCTGCCTCAGTCGGTGGCGCAGCGCCAGTCGCTGCAGGCTGCGCTGCTGCCGCAGGTGCAGCAGCAGCAGCAGGCCGGGGGGGCGCTGTTCTCGCCGACAAGCACGGCGCCGCGGCAGCTCTTCGGCGCAGCCAGCCCCGCCCACGGAACGCCCGCGGCGGCCGGCCACGGCAGTGCGCTGCGCAGCAGCGGCCGCCCACCCCTGCCCTCAGCGCCGGCAACGGCGGCGGCGCCAGGCGGGCCAGCCTATACCCCTCACCGCTTGCCCCTTATCGCCGCCTACAAGCCGCAGCAGCTGGCTCAGGCCTCCCCAGCCCGCACCTCCCCCAGGCTGCAGCTGCAGCAGCAGGGGCGCCAGCAGGCAGCCGCATCCACCGCCGCAGCCGTGGATGCACCCCTTGCTGACAGCAGCCAGGCGCAGGGCGGCGACGCGGCGGCGGCGGCCGCTCCCGGCGGGCTGGGGTCTGAGGGGCAGCTGGCTGCGGCGGAGGCGCGACTGCGGGCGCTCCTGCCCGACCAGCACGACCGCGCCTTCCGCTTCGCGCAGCCGCGGGCGAGCGCAGAGGGCCTGGCGGGGCCGGGGGATGTGCTGCTGTACTGCTCCAAGCGCGATCGCAAGCTGAGCCTGCCGGTGCTGGAGCTGGCGCTGGTGCTGAGCGTGGAGGAGGTGGGGGGGTCTTCCAGCCCTCGCCAGAAGTTCAGGTGCAGCGGGGGCCAGGAAGCACCTGGTTTTGGGGGCTGGGAGCGGCCGTGTGTTTTGGGAGCTGGCGGGCAGCAAGGCGGCAGCTGGTCGGCCGCGGGTGGAGCACGGTTTGTTCTGGCTGGCACCATGACTGGGCGTCTCTGCGCCCATCCCTTTGCCGCGTCTCCGCCCCAGGCCCTGACCCTGCTGGTGCGCCCCGCTCCACCGCCCCCTTGCAGCCACGTGGCAGAGACGCTGGTGCTTGCCCGGGGGATCAACGACGCGCAGCTGGAGCCTCCCAGCCAGGCCACATTCGGCACCGCGGAGCTCGGCAAGGCCGGGTGCAAGCAGCAGCAGAAGGGGGTGCGCGAGATGCGGCACTGGTGCTACCGCGGCACCCTCAGCGGGTCTCAATGTGAGTGGGTGCCCGCCCCTCTGCGCGAAGACGCCAGCCCTGCAGCGGCTGTCTGCCCACAGCCGCCTTGCAGCGGCCTGCCCTGCCCAGCTAACCAATGCCTGCCACCTGCTGTGGGCCTTGCTGGCGCAGTCAACCCGTTGAAGCAAGCCGCCGACAACCTGCGCGGCCTGCGGCAGCAGCGGAGCCAGCAGCAGCAGCAGGCGGCGTGATGGGGTGCAAAGCCCTGCAGCTGAACCAGGCTGGCAGTAGGCACAGTTTCCTGCACGCCTACCGCTGCCAGACCATCACACTTTTGACAGCAGCGTGCCCCCAGCCGCATGCTGGCCTACATCGACTCTACCTGCCCCGTCGGCCCTGCAAGATGTGCCGACAGCGCTTTAGGGTTCTCGAGGTTGCAGGGGCGTGCAACACCATCCAATCCAAGGGGATTGTACAATGTAAAGAACGGGATCAGTTCGAGCGGTACAGGAAGCAGCGAACAAGGAACAGCAGGGGCAGATCAGCAGGAGGAAGAAGCAGAGAGGCAGCGTCAATTAGAATGTCAAAGAGAGTTTAAGGTCCAGGGGTCAGCACTGCTGGAAGACCACGTCGGACCGCAGCACGTACTTTATGCCAGCTGTCACCGCCGCCGCCTCGTGCTCCATGCACTCGTCGCCGTGGCGGTGCAGCAGCGCCAGCCCCGGCTGCGGCGTCACCGCCGCCAGCTTGCAGTTGCGGCCTCCTGCACGGCGAGGACGACAGCTAGGGATTCAGGGCCAGGCAATCATGGCAGGAAGCGCTCTCTGCAGAGAGCAGACAGGGTGGCTGCCGCTCCGGCAAGCACACAAGAGAGCATGGGCGGCGGCTGGGCCCGACTCGCCATAGAAGATGGTTTCCCCGCCGCCGCAGGTGGAGAGGTAGATGAGCAGCGTGTACTGCGTGTACTGCCCACAGCCCAGCTCGTTGCTCTCGTCGATGTGCTTTCCAAACTTCTGTCCAGGCCGGTACCGGTAGATGCGGATATTGGGGTTTAGCCTGACGGGGCACCCCTCCTCATCGCCCAGACCCGCGCACAGCTGCTGCAGCCCCGCGGCCTGCCACAGCTGGTCTGCCAGCTGCTGATCCTGGAACTGCGCCACAGGAGCGGCAGGGCAGGCAATGGGGGGGAATGTTCATCTGAGCACTATCTCAGCACAGCAGCTATGGCCGCCTGGCACCATATTGCAGCAGGCAGGCAGGCCGCAGGCAGCCCCCCCGCACCTGGATCCGGTCGTTGTCTCTAAATGCCTGCACGAGCAGGGAGAGAGGGGGAGGCAATGAGACACGTGTGAGCATGCAGGGTGCCTTGCCTGCCGCACGGCCTGCACAGGGAAAGTGGAGCAGCCTGCAGCCCGGCCAGCCGACATCAAGCAGTGCAGCGCACCTCGCCGTAGGCTGGCCCTCTGCTGGTGGAGTGCTGGAAGCCTACTGACTCCGCTACCGTCACAAACTTGGCTGCCTCCTCCTGGGTCAGGCAGCCGGGGACCTGCGGGGGCAGAAGACAACCTTGTCCCTTGTGGGAGCAATGTGCAGGGACGGCCGGTGGTGCAGGGAAGGCGAGGCGCGAGCGAGGAGGCAGCTGCAGGCCAGGCAACCCACCTGCACCATGCAGTCATCTGGCAGGAGGTGCTGGGCCTTGAGGCCGGACTTTTGGGAGATGCGGGGCCACTTTGGAGCTCCTGCGGGGTGGGAGCGAGGGCGCCGCCTGGTCGCCGCAGGCGGGAGCGGGAGCGAAGCAGTGGCTGCCGATCTCGCGGCGGAGGATGCTCCCTGTCTTCTCCCTGCGACTGTGGTGACGGGCAGCAGCATCCTGTCTCCTGAAAGCAGTTTGAGCCGCGGCGCTACTTGCCGGCAGACTGCCTGTCGCGCCCCATGCCCCCCACTCAATCAATTGTGCTAATAGAGTCGTCAGGTATGCTAACCCGACAACCACACAGGCACTGTGTGCTAGAGGCTCTCCCTGCTACGTGCTGTGGACAGCCAACTCACAATGCGATGCATGAATGTGGAAACCCCGTTAGAATCAGTGCCGGTAGCATTGCGATATCCTCACGGTTGCTACAGGTGGAGTGGGCTACCCGCTGAGGATTTTGGAGGTGCGCCATCCCATCGTTCTGCCCCCTGCTTGCCTGAGCCCCCTGTTCCGCTCATCGGCGCCTGCGAGCCTCACACTTACACCAAAACGGCGCGCATGAACGCCACACACAGCAGCGCCGGGAGCGGCGCCGGCCGCCGCCGCCCGCAGCTTCGCCGCTCCCGTGAGTCGGCACTCGTTGTCAGACTCAGCAGTTCCGCCTCCCCCCTGCCTTGCCCTGCAGGATCTACACGCACATAAAGCAGCCATGGACAAGCGCATAGGCTTCATCGGCGCGGGCCAGATGGCGGAGGCTCTGGCCCGAGGCTTCATAGCCAAGGGCGTGTGCCGCGCGGAGCACGTGTTTGCCACAGACCCGGTGCAGGACCGCAAGGAGGTGTTCCGCAGCTTCAGCACCAACCCCGTGGACGGCAACATCGAGGTGGGTGTGCTGCCTGCCCGCCCGCTGCGGGCCTGCTCCGCTGGCACGCCCGCCGGCACGCTTCCAAGAGGCATCATGCCTGGGCCAGCTGTGCCGCTCACCAGCGCTGCGCTCTCTGCTGCTCCCTCCCCGCGAGCAGGTGGTCCAGTCCGCTGACGTCATCTTCATCGCAGTGAAGCCGCAGTATGTGTCGGTGGTGCTGCGCGAGGTGCGCGCTGTGGTCACGCCATGGGTCCTCACCTCGCACCACCCTTGAGAACCACCACCGGCGCCGCGCTGGCCTGCCTGCCCGGCCCTGTTGCCAGTTTGCGGGCGCTCCCCGTGGGCGGCGTTCGAGCCCGCTGCCCGACCGCTGGCGAGCTGACCTGCCGCTTGCCCCCGGCTGCAGGTGCGGCCTTACCTGGAGGACAGGCACACCATCGTGTCCATCGCCGCCGGCATCACGCTGCAGTCGCTCAAGGCAAGGGTGGGAGGGAGAGCAGGCTGCGGGGCGGCGCCGGGGTGGTGCGCGCCGGCTGTGCCCATCGCCGTGGCACCTGGAGCTCCCCGCCATCACCGCGCCGCCGCCAACGGCGCCCTGCTGCCTGCAGGATGCGGCAGGGGATGGGGTGCGGCTGGTGCGCGTTATGCCAAACACGTGAGGGCAGCCTGACTGCTGAGCGGCAGCTGGGGCTTTGCGTCTATGCCTGTCGAGTGCGCTGGAGCTGCTGCGCTTGGCAGGGCTAGAAGGAGCAGCACAGCCGGGGAAGCGGGGACAGCCTACAGCTGCGCAGCAGAGCGCTGTTGTGAACCGAGGCAGAGATGCCGAGGGCCTGCCTGTGGCCGCGCCCTGCGCAGGCCCTGCCTCGTGGGCGAGACCGCGGCAGCCATGTGCCTGGGCGGCAAGGCGGACGACGGCGATGCGGAGCTGGTGCGGCGGCTGTTTGACAGCGTGGGCAAGATCTACAGGTGGGGGGCGGGTGGGCGCATGGTGATTAGAGTGATTGGTCGGCGCCGGTGTGAGCGCTGCAGTGTGATTTCAGCCTGTAGCTTCCATGCGAGGCAGGCAGCAAATGTGCATCCCCTCAGCATCCTGCCTCCGCCTGCTGGGCTGCAGGGTGGACGAGAAGCTGCTGAGCGCGGTGACGGGGCTGAGCGGCAGCGGGCCCGCCTATGTCTTCCTCATGATAGAGGCGCTGGCAGATGGAGGTGAGGGAGGCGCTGGCAGATGGCTGGGAGGCCAGGCACCGGCGGCCGAGGGCGCCGAGGGCGCTTCGTGCCGCCGCTCGCTCTCCCGACAGCTGCTGGCCGGCATGCGTGCACGGCAGCCTGCTGTTGTCGTCACGCTGCGCGGCAGGTGCCTGGGCCGACGCACGCCGTGCGCGTGCTTGCTGTCGTGCAGGCGTGCGCTCGGGGCTGCCTCGCGACATCGCCAACCAGCTGGCGGCGCAGGTGAGGCGGTACCTGGCGGTACCTGATACGGTACCTGGCGGTACCTGCTGCTGTGCCGCGTGCCATTCGGTGCGATGCGCCGACCGCGGGCCCTGCTGCGCTGATGCGCGCGCAGCCTCGGCCTCGGCCTCAGCCGCTGCTGTTCCCCGCCGCTGCTCCTCCTCCTGCAGACTGTGCTGGGATCGGCCAAGATGGTGCTGCAGACGGGCAAGCACTGCGGGGCGCTCAAGGACATGACGTGCAGCCCAGCGGGCACCACCATTGCCGGCATTCACGAGCTGGAGCGGGCGGGCACGCGGGCGGCCTTCATGAACGCCGTGCTCGCGGCCACGCAGCGGGCGGATGAGCTGGCAAAGATGGCCTGAGAGCAGGGCCGCTTGCAGTGCTGCTAGTGGTGGTGTAGAGCAGGGCGTGGGTTCTGGCACTGTGCCGGGCGAGTAGAGATGGCCCGAGCATAGGAGCCGTGTCTAGGAATCACACTTGGGGTTGGAATTGTAAGGGCCAGCAGTAGCCGACAGGCATTGGCAGATTGGTATTGCAACAGGGTGGAGGTGGTGGGCACACCTGTCCCATAGTTGTGGCATCGTACTAGGCAGCAGGCTCTACATCAGCCCGGCTGCCTGCCTGCATGCCCACCACGTCACCACAACCACGCCCCATGACAGCAGCGCACGCCTGGGCAGGCTGCCCTTGCCTCTTCCACCAACGCTGTACAGCGCTCGGTCAGCAGAATCAAACAGCCGGCTGATGTGGCAGCACAGACGGGCATGCCAGCCCGAGGCAGGATGCGCTGCCGCCGTTTGGGCCATGTCTGGTGGGGGCGGCCAGGAGCAAAGAGAGATAAGGGTGGGCAGGATGAAAGCCAATGACAGCTGCAGGAAGGTCACTGTGGCGTGGCAAACGCCGGAAGATGACGCTGTGCCTGCGCAGCAGGGCGGCACAGCACCTTTCAGCTTCGGTCAAGGCCGTCATAAGCTCTGCACCTCTTGGCAAGGCATGCAAGCAGGCCCAGGCAGCAGGTACACAACAGCAGCACAGGAGAGGCTACACGCAGCAGGTGGCCCGCCTTGTGAGATTGCAGGTGCCATCATGACTGGATAGAGTGCCGGCGGAAGCAGCAGCACCAGGGGCAGCGAGACGAGCTCCAAACAAGAGGCCACCAGCGCCATGCGCTGCTGCATCAGCGGCGCTGTGAGGAGTTGTGTGGTGCAGTACCTGCAGCCAGGGAGCAGCCACGCAGCGACCCTCATTGAGAGGCGGCACCGACCGAGAGCAGAACGCAGCCGGTTGTGGAGCAATGGCCACCTGCTTACTGAGCAGCACGCACCCTTGGCTGTTGTAGATGAGAGGCACGTGGGCCAGCTGGGTGGCTAGTGTCATCGCTGGCCGATGGTTGACCACCAGCCCCAATATGGTTGGGTGGAGTATTCGGGTGCCTGCAGCCAGCGGCAGCCAATTTTGAAGAGAGAGCAAATGGCACTAAAGTATGATCTACCAACAGCGGGCAACGTGGCAGGCGCCTCACCCATGATCATACGCCACAGGTCTGCAGCTGCCCCCGACCACCCAGGCCGCGGCGCTCGCTCTAACACTAATGCCGAGCCAACCTTGATCATTCGGAAGGACGGCACTGTGTGCGACAGAATCCTCAAGGCAGGGGACAGCCACGTTCTGCGGCACATGGCAGAGGCAGTGTGGGTGGGCGGGACGTTGGTGGTGGTGGTGGGGGGCGGCTGCAGACGTGTGGCGGA